GAACTATAGTTCTTACTGTATGTGCTTGAAACTTCCGCCAACCGGCTTCCCCGGAGCTGCTGGCCGGGGATCCTAGGAGCAAGATGTCCCTTTCGACAATTCTGGGCCGGAGCCGCGGCTCTTGCCTCAAGGTGAAAAGCTTGATAAGCTCCAGCGCGGCGAGCTTGGCACCTTGTCTCTGAACCATGAAGCTCGATTTTGTTGTCGATCCCTTGAAAGGGCCCCATCAGAAGTTGAAAGGGATCCAGTTGCTGTCCTGATACTGACTCGTCAAGGAATGCGAGAAGATAGAATGATACGGTCAGTGGTCCAACAGTGTGATTGTTGTTTTCCTTGCCTATCCCGAGAACAACATGGAAGCACCAGCGCCGTCCAAAGTATGCACTGCAAGTTCCGCTTCGGTGGAAGGCCAAATTCACTCAGCTTCCAGCTTGGCTCCCACATGCAGCACAAAGCACACCCAACATTCAACGCATGCGGGCGCATATGGGCGCATATGGGCGCATATGGGGTTTGAGTGCATGGTTCTTGGGTTTTATTTGTTTTGAAATGCACCCTACGGCTTGCACCGGCATCCGTATTGCTTTGTATGGAAATCAGTGACCAGTATTTGAACGAATAAACTCAGTCCTGGCCTAGGTGTCGTGTCTCTTTGGCACATGATGGGCTTAGACACTTGTGGAGACGCGTGTCCTCTTCGACGGTGTAGTTTCCTATTGGATGTTGATGTTCGCAGCCTTGCTCTGCAACCTAAACCATATCCATGTTTGGCACTTTTCATGACCCGCGGTTTGATTCGCATGTTTCAGATCTGCGAGGGCAAAAAACCCCCGCTGTAATGTTGGCGGCGGACACGGGTCCTAAACCTCTTGTTGCGGCGCACGAAAACAAACAGCAAAGCTTTTCGATGGGGCCAGTCCTGAACTTAGGAGCAGCTGAGCAGTGAGAAATTCGAGGTGCAACTGGGCATGCTCCTTGGAGGGACAGCTGTAAGTTTGCCGCAGGCCATTTTTCGATGAGCATGCTCAGCAAAGATCAGGGGGCACCGGTTAAGCAAGATACCTGGAGACTTTGAGTAGTGACAGTGTTTCAGTGATTGCACTACTCTGTAGTGCAATCACTGAATCACTGGCAATATGTTTCAGTTGGCTTCACATGTGTGAGCGTGCCCGCTAGAACTCTCACCCTTTGACATGAGCAGAGCATGTTTCTGGAGCAGAAGCTGCAGTCTACTCGTATCATTGTATTCTTTAGTAGGCAGCAAGCAGGATCTCCAGCTATGGTTTCCCGTTCGGCACAACACTATGTGTTTGTTGGCAACTGCCTACTGAATGTACATCTTGCCAATTCAGAGATCTTCAAAATTTTCTGACACGCAAAGACCCAAATTGTATGTCCTTATATAATGAGTATGGTATGTTTTGGAGTAGGTACTTGTCACCACAGTGTTACTGAGCGGGACTCCGAAGGCCAAAAGTCTACATTAGAGTTTAGCGTCAGGAAAAGATCGTACTTGAACAGCACCCACAACCCACTTTCTCTCTTACTTCACTTTTGGCAACATGCTTGAATATGGAACAGGGCTGATTATAGGCCCCGACAACCGGTGCGCCCTGAGATGGCGCTTAGAAAAATCCCACCTACGAAGCTGAACCTCAAATGTCACGGCTGCGGCAGTCGGCAGGTTGGCCTCTGCCAAGCGCGAGACTGCCCGCGCCCTGGCGGCAGCGGCAGCGAAGGAGCGAGAGGCGCAGGCGCAAGCGATAGGACACCGGCTGGAATTTGCAGAATGCGCATACATATTAGTGTGTATATGAATACTGTATACATATGATATAGTACCGTGTATATGTTGATGTGCATGTGTAAAAACAGTTGTATGTGTATCACATGAGTCATGTACAGCTGGCTTGTACCTCGCGTAGGCCGTCCCGCATATAATATATATATATATATGTGTATATATATATATATGTATATTACACATGTCTCCAGGGTTGCCGGTTTGTTTAGCCCCCGCTCCTCGACAGGCTTGCCTTGGTGCAGAAACACTGTTTTTAATGGTATATTCATTGGTTGTACACGTCTGGCAAAGGGAGGTTTGGTGAACGCGCAGCTTGTTTTTTGCGTGAGCACCAAGATGACCTACAGACTTCTGACATTTGCCAGTAACTGACGTTTATGCTCGTCACGCCTTTCAAAGATGCCTGCCCCTGTCAGGCGCAGGCTGCTCAGCTCCAAGAAGAGATCCAAGGCGTCTTTGCCACGGACGTGGAGGGGGATGACGCTTGACATGCCTTTTTTGTTGGCCGGGGGTGCCCGGATCAAAACGACTGGAGTTTCCACTGGGTGTTGAAGTCATATTGATCGGTCATGTATGTGAGCATTTGTGGGAAACCAGCACATGTTGGTTTGCAAAACCACCAACCAGTGAGTCAGAGTTCGAAGCCCTTCGCTTGCACAGCACATCAGTGACCGAGGACCGGAGCATTCCAGTGCGGCTGGCAGCCTGGTGCAAGATGAGCGAAAGTCAGTCCTCCATGCGAACCATGAAGGCTTACGCACGCCATGTCAGGCCCCTTGAAGTGCTTTGTACGTGACTCCGGGATACACTTGCTTCACACATATGCACGTGTCATGATTGAAGGATATCAAACTTGATGTGCAATTCGTTTGTTGGACACTGCAGCAATAAGGCTGCCTCATTAGTCTATTTGCTGCCTTTGATGGATGGACTCCAATTTGGTCTTCCTTTGCTGGCAGCTTGGCACAAGATGGTACAAGGGGGAGTCTTACCTTGTTCGTGTAAACTCAAGGGGACGGGCGAGGAGGAAAGGAGGGAAGGAGGAGAGAAAGCAAGTTGGGATAAGGGAAGGCAGGAAGACACAAACCATGAAGAAACAATCATGATATTGAGAGCGTGCACCCAGGAAACGAAAGAAGATTATGAGGGAGATGCAAAAATAGATGGCAAGCAATGGCAGAAATAATGTGAGCAAGAACTGACATGAAGGTTGCTCTGAAGACGGATCAACAAGCAATATTGAGTTGACAGGTCAAGATTCAAACATCATGACATGATCGAAACAAAAAAGGCAAAGGAGAAAAGACAAAAGCAAGTTTGCTATGCGCTATCCATTGTCAAGTACTTACTACACATGACTTGCCATGTAGCGAATAGCGCTAGAAATACACTCATTGCTAGATTGAGATGTTATACTATCAAACACTACTACCATTACCTTGTCGCTCTTGTTGCTGTGTGCCACCTAGTCCTTCCTGCCTACTGTTTGCTTGTTGCTGCCCACTACTTGTTGTTTGTTAAAGGTAGTGTTGTTGCTAACACTGTGATTATGTTGATGATTGCAAACTACTCGTACGATGTCTATCATTGTCACTAGCATCTGTAATATGTTCAATATTATTATGACACGCATTGTGGTGATCATTACGCTACCTGGTACTTGCACCAACTAGTACTCTCTGCGTTGTGCTTACTTCCTGCTTCCTACTACCTGCTACTTGTTGCAGACTGCTGCTACCTATTACTTACTTACTTACTTACTTACCTACCTACTGCTGCTACTACTGCTATGAGAATACTACTACCAGCCACTTCTACCGCTGATGATGCTACTACTACTACTATACTCCCACTACTACTACCACTATTACTGCTACTACTACTACTGCTACTACTTCTGCTAGTACTACTACTACTACTACTACTACTACTGCTAGCACTACTACTGCTACTACCTACTACTGCTACTACTACTGCTAGTACTACTACTAGTACTATACCTACTACGTTCTCGGCATGGTGCATGGGTTTTTTAAACCAATGAAACCACGTTATTTGTTTGGTATTAGAGTTTGAACGGATGCTCCAAATGTGTGTTTGCTTAAGCTTCAAAGCAGAATTGACATGAAGGAATACTCAACCGTTTGAATTCCCATCTTAAATTATGTTTTAGAATGGAATTATTGTCCGAAACAGGTTTAACTTTAGTTCAGAGTCTAAATGAACGTTTAAAAGGACACAATTCAGGTAACATTCTTATCTTAAGCCAAACACTTGAGTAATAGGAGTTCCGTTCCAAATCTGGTTTTATAGAAAGGACATCTGACTAGATATTTAGAATGGAATTGAATACAGAAAGAACGTCTTGTTGGTTCTTCTAGCTGGCCTGCCCCCTCAAGCGGAATTGAAACATTAGTAGAAAGTCAAGGAGCATGCAGTTTCAGATCTATTTGTTTAAGACAATGCAAGCTAAGTCAGTGATGTTGATGTTTGTGTGTACTGTTTTGTATTTAAACACTTGTCACGTTTAAGTCAACCTCTGATTTGGAAAGGCGTTCATGTTAAAGTTGGAGTTAAAGTAGACATTCTAGGCAATCCAGTTCCGTTTTTTCCAACGAATGCAACACATCGAGAAGTTCAAGCGGCAAAACACATGACAGACCCCATGTGCAGTACTCGAGGTTTTCCACTTGGGGTCTGCAAACTTGTTTTAGTTTGATTTTTTTGGACACTCGAGTTGTTTTGTAGTTGTGAAAAATGCGGGCCCCACAACGACCATGTTTGCACTACTACTACTACTGCTGCTGCTGTTGCTGCTACTACTACTACTACTACTAGTACCACTACTACTACTACTACTACTACTACTACTACTACTACTACTACTACTGCTACTGCTACTGCTACTGCTACTGCTACTACTACTACGACTTCTGCTACTTCTGCTACTACTGCTACTACGACTTCTACTACTTCTGCTAGTACTACTACTACTACTACGACTTCTACTACTCCTGCTGCTGCTACTACTACTATTACTACTAGACCATTACTACCGCTATTTCTACTAGTACTACTACTAATACTACTACTACTACTACTACTACTACTACTACTATTACTACTACTATTACTACTACTATTACTACTACTAGTACTACTACTAGCACTAGCACTAGTACTACTACATTTTACAACAACTACTGCAGTCTTGTACCTTCTACTTGCTCCCCTTTGCCTGCTACTTGCTATTATGGTTAGCGACTTTGATTTCAACCTGAGTAACCTTGCAACCGCTGCAGCGCGTTTGTTGGGTTGTCGACAGCACCCCTTTTCGTTCGCTTTCAGGATATTTTCCCGTCGCTCGTTCCTCTAGCAACTTGGCAGAATCAAGCAGGACGAAAAAGGAATCAGATTTACTTGCAAGTAGCTAGCTTGCGGGCGGCTCATGGCGTGTGCTTCCCAAGGTGCAACTGGTGGCTCCTTTGGTGATGCTCAAGAATGCCATTCCTTTCGGCACCTTCATCTTCCTGACCGGGGTCAATTTTTGGACTTTGTTTGGGTTGGACACCAACTGCCACACACCCATGTCGCTGGCGGACCCTTGCTTCCCTGATCCGTCAAGTTGTTTGTTGCAAAAGCACGGAATTGTGGCATTCAAACACTCGCAATTGATCATCCAGTGCCTCGCCACACAGTGAAAGCTGGCCTATGGCCGGTTGTGGACTCTGCCAAATTTGGATTCCAGGATCCTCTTCCAGGCACAAGCCCGGAACGGGGGGTTGCCCCAGATCTTGCGCTTCAACCTTGCTCAAGCGGTTCCTCAGCGGGCAATACAACAACAATGTCACCGTACTGAAGTTGGGACGGCCAGACTTGCAGCTGAGCCCAAAACTGCGTGCATGCCTATACGGGCAATGTTTGCGTGACGTCGTTGTATCCAGGTTGTCCTGGATGTTTTGTTCATCGTGCCAGACTTCTTCATGTCGAGCCTTGGATGGGGCCCGGGCCAAGGGACTGTTCAGTTGCCAGCCATCCCAAGGCCCAAGTCCAGATTATCCTCAATCAGAGCGTGTTCAGTCGACAGCGGAAAGTTTGGTAGGAACATGTTTCTTCCGGGGCAATGCCCAAACAGCGGGATACTCAGTGCATGTTCAAAGCAGAAGGCCTCAGTACATCATAGTGACGGAAGGAATTCAGCCACTGTCCTTCATCGGTTGGAGGTCTAAGATGCAAGCCTGTGCAGGAAATCCAGTTTTTGACCACCTGCCAGCACCAAGGATTATTGCCATGGACTTGCGACTTGTTTGCATTTTGTATGTGTTTGTGTACTTTCTCCATTGCTTTCACGCCTGCACAGTTCAGTACAACTGATGCGATTGCCCCGATACTGCGCAATTGAAGACTCGCACAGCTTGATTTTACTTCTTTTACATTCGTTTTGTTTGCTGTACCCAGTGGTTTGGGCTTGGAAGCATTGGTTGAGGCTTAGCAGACAAATGTTTGATTGTGTGACTGATTACAGACGTCCAAGGCCATCGAGTTTCCTGGTGGCGCTTTTCGTAATGCTTTTCGGCGTGACGCGGCACAGAAGTGGGGACAAATCCTGGCAGTGGGTTTGAGCCTCGCCCTCTGCAGTTTTCTATCAGGCATTTCCCTAGCATGCGAATGCAGGTCGGCTTTGGCCGAAGGCTGTGTGTACAGCTGTAGTGTTGGTTTGCTGGAGAGCTGCTGTGTGACAGCCAAAGGAAGGAGGGCATGTGTGGATCAATTGGTATGCGCAGCATGCGAAAGCCTCTGGTGAGTGGCTTAATTTGACAATTTATTCAATGCCAAGCTGCTGGCTGTTTGACCTAGTTTGGTATGGTTACTGGTTCGTTTGATAACTTCTTTTGCGGGGATGCTGCGCATTCTTCCCGAAGGTCATTGTGTACTCGGTGACATTGACACTGCTGGGGAAGCTACCCGAGTCTGAGCTGCAACTATGAAGGATTTGCTGATGCAGAAGTCCGGCATCAACGCTTATCTCCTAAGTCAACTCGGACTTAAGCGTTGCTAAGCATGCCAATTTCCATTGTCAGATGCTGCAACAATTGCAGTCATGTTTCTTGCTTTGGTGAGCATCAAGTTGCATTCGCTCGAGATGCCTGTTTCCACTTTCCACTTTTTTCTGCCTCAGGGGTTGCGGGGACTGCTTCATGGTTGTGTCATGGTGATGCACAGTTTTCGAGGATGGCTTGGGCGGCATATCAGACATGACTCGACGTAACTTGGGTGGCGGCTTGGGTGGCGGATTGGGTGGCGGCTTGTGACTGTCGCACATACACAGGAGGGCCCATCATTGAGGATCATTGGTATCAAATCAGAGTTGCGAAAAAAGTCTGACTCGAACATTGAGAGAATGATCCGACTGCGCTGCGCGGATTTCTTCAATCAAGCATATGCGGCTGTCTTCCTTTGTGGCTTTCCTGCGCTTGTGCACCAACATGTTCAAAGACCAGCTGCAACAGCTTGTGCGGTCCCAGCCGCGGAGAGAAATCGGAGCTGGCTGCTGCTGCATGCTTTCTTGAGTCCACCACCGGCACCTTGGTTGTATGGGTAAGGCAGAAAGATTCCAACTTCTAAGTTTAGTCCTCCAAACAGTGCATGATACCGAATGGATGGTGGAATTTAGAAAAGTAGTATATAAAGATACTGGCATCGTTTGTTTCAGGCAGCTGCAGGCGCAGGAGCTTCTGAGACAGAGGCTGGGGGCATTTGAGTGCTCGTTTCATGCAGGCTATGCATGGCTATGCTGTAAGTGGCAACACAGCCAAACTTAAAGTTGCCCTGCGAAGCCAGGGCATGAGCAGGAGTGTTAAATTCATTTGAAACGGTTAGAAGGGAGACGGGCACGTTGTTTGCTGCACCTATGCCTCATGAGTTGGGAAGTCCAGCGAACTTGCGGAGGTTGGAGGAGACACTGGCGTGTAGTCTACGCTCTGTTACTTGACTGAAATACGAGCCACATCAGAAGATGCGGCAAGCCTTCATAAGTCTTCATTTGCCATGGCTGTCGTTTAGTCAGCCGGGTGTGCTGAGAACTGATTTTTCTCTAGTGGAGAGGTTGCAAAGTGGCAAACGGCGGGTGGACAACTCAACGAGATATCGTTGATTGCACTGCTGGGATTCTTGCTTGGCTGTACAGGATCAATCTTGTACTGCGTGCCGTACGAAACCAGTTGCACATGCTTCGCAACTGAGTCCTTAGCTTTGAAACGAATTGCCCCATGACCTTGCATCCCACTTGAGCATTGTGACCCTGCAATTTGTGTGGGTACCAAAATAGCCCACGGGAGCAGGCAAAGCCCACGCCTTCCTTTGAGGAAGAGCGCTTGCTACAGCCCGCGTCTGAGCCTCATGCTGCTTTCAAGGCAGGGCACCTCAAACATATTGTACCGTGAGTTGATGTCAAGCAGCGCAGTGCTTATATTAGACACAATATGCCTCGCAGGCTGCGCAGGAGCAGGTTTTTTTCCACGATAGCAGACTTCAGTCATTCGCACAAAGGGAGAATTGGATGATCCGTACCGTAGGTATTGGCTGATTGAGCAGCCACCCTGCAGTATGTCCAGATTTAACAGTGTAGGCGCACCTTGCGTGGTTGTTTGCTCGTGTGTGTGTGTGTTGTGCCTCTGTCTTCTTCTATGTCTATGTCTATGTCTTTGCGTGTTGGTGTGTTTCTGTGTATGTGTGTTTTGTGTATGTGTGTTTTGTGTTTGTGTGTTTTGTGTTTTTGTGTGTACCTACCGTGTTGTTTGTTTGTGTTTTCGTTTTGTGTGTGCGTGTGTTTCTGTGTGTGTGTGCGCGCACCTTGTTTTTTGTCTGTGTGTTTGTTTGCAAGTGTGTGTGTGTGTATGTCTGTGTTGGCGTGTTCGTGTTTTGGGTGGGTATGGGCATGGGAGCAGGTGGCTGCATGTGCGGGCGTATAGGATGTGTGTGAACACACCAATATTAGGCTTCGTACTAGGTACTAAACTGACAGCTTTGAGATTAAGCTCTTTTCGCAGCTGCCACCAGCTGGCATGAGTACTGCGCTGGGCATGATGCTTGGGTGGGTGTGCTTCATGGGGAGGCAGAATTGAACACGGGTGCCTGCAAGATGTGCTGGGACAGGAAGATGAACTAATGCTGGTGCTGGGAATGCGTGGAGGGTGCGGAATCCATACGCTCTTAGATACGCACTAAGTCATGTCCCTGTTTCGCCAATCAAAAGTGTCAATGCCAAGATTCAACAAGTAGAGGATATCCAAACCAACCGTGGCCATCGAAAACCTCCAACTCCGGAAAATGCTCCTATCTCGACAGGAGCTGTTGGCCCAAAGCGTGGATGACTTGGGGCCTCGGGCCTCAGCCCGTGCATGGAATTGGCTGCGGCGCTGCAGGCACGCCTCCAAAGAGCAGCTCGGCGACTGCTGCGCAACGAGCGGCGGGGCCTCCAAGTTTCGGATTGGAGCAGACAGTGATTCTGGAATTGGAGATTTGGCAAAACAAGGTTTCTTGAACCAGCCGCTCTTTTTTTGCTTCATCGAGGCAATTGAATCAGGGACTGAACCATGGATTTGGGCCCCAGGACATGGGTTGAAAGAAGCCAAAGTAATTAGAGGGCTGCCCAGACATGCCCAGACCAACCCATTCCGCGGCTGGGCTGAGTGGCTGGGCTGCTTGGGCTGGCCTGGGCCCAGCGCGACATGGGTTGAGGGGGTGAATTATAGTTGTCTTTCTCTTTCTCCGTCTCTTTATCTCGATTTTTATATTCATCTAAAATGTCTCTTTCTCTTTCTCTCTCTTTCTCTTTTTTCGCTTTCTCTTCTCTCTGCGCCTGCCACGAAACCTTCGCCTGGCCTTCCGAAAGTATTAGGTCATAGTACCCGTTTTCGTTGTGGGCTAGGGAAGATTTCGGGCACTGTTTTGCGCTACCGTTTATTAACCGAGCACCGACAGTACCCTTTGCCCAGATATTTCACCCACAGAGCAAGATCCAGCCGAAAAATGCCACCGGATTGCAGCTCAGGCCGTTGCTGGAGGATGAGCTCTCGTTTATGGATTCCTAGTTGGCGTTTCTGGAGATGCCAGGCGTCCGCCTGCTGAAGAATCGGTTTCATATGGGCTTGGCCATTGAGAGCAGTACAGCTTCCCGGTCAAACAGGGTGCCGCATGACAGGTGTTTGGTGTGTCGACTTGGTGTCAACACATGCGCAGCATGCAGCTTACACTATGTTGCCAAAAATACTTGTTGGTTGTGGACATCTTTGGCAGGTCGGCCCATAGCTTCCAGGCAAGAGAGAAAAAGGTCCTTGACGCGCTGCCAGCCTAGGCTTGCCGGATGAATCTGAGCGTAACATGTTTCGAGACGAAGTCCAGTGTACGGTTTTGCTTCACCGAGATGCAGCGTAAATCCAACTAGCTATCATGAGGGAATCTCTCCAATATATATATATATACATATACACATACATATATGATACATCAATCACATGAGATACGCCATCACATTCAATTTGTGCACAGTGTGTTGCTGTGGATCAGACAAATCGGCTATGAGCCTGCCTGTTTGCCTGCGAGTCTCTCTTCAAGGATGGCACAAGTTGACGTATGTTGTACGGGCGCTCCATCAATCGGATACTAGTATGACGATTGTTATGTTGATGTATAATTGCATTTCAATCATTCAGTGCTTATCTAAACAGTTTGTGAATGGGGGTATGAGTTGGCTTTGCTGCAGTAACGCATCCTGGCTTTTGTGGCAGGTACGGACATCGCAGACCACATCGAGCATCACTGATGGTCACTACCATGTACTACCATGTAGTCCATTGAACTTGCCAACGATTACATAGTATTTGTAAACGGCGAAGCGAAAACAAGCCTGCTGCCAAGCATTCCAGATGGTATCATTGCTTTGTTAACACACTCACTAGCTTTGTGTAAAATGTCAGGGTAGCACAGGAGCTGGTAATGAATACTGGCCAGAATCTTGGCCAGTCACGCTTTGGCTTCTGGAGTTTGCCAGGACACGGATCTGATTGGCACAGCATCCTACGATGGCTATGTCAAGGCAAGTGGCCGGCTTGAGCTTATTTTTGCTACGTTGTGATTCTATGCGGCACAGCGTCTAGAGCAACAGGGAACCAGCTGATCTTTGGTGTGGGAGTCTGAGTCTGGACAATCCGCCATTGCGCTGATGCGAGTGCGACTCGATTCATGAGAGCGTTGCATAAGTATTTTTCGTTGCACACATATCTTTGCCCATGGATGGAAGAGCTCGCACTTGGTTTCGGCATTCCAAATTGTAGGTTGCCCTTTTGTTTCTTTGAACAAAAACATGCGCAAGGGGCTCCCCATTTCATCCCATTTAGGGATGCTGTTTCCAAGTCAACTGAGAGCCCTTTGGGACACCTGCTAGCTCTGGCGCATCTCCACCCATGAGAGCGTGCGGGAGATGAATGCCGGAAAGGCACGAGTCGGCACCGGGGGGACGCTGGACGCTATTGGCTTGATCTCACATAGCAACTTTGAAGGGATTTGCCCTGTGTTCATGAGCTCAGGCCACAGGGTAAAGCTCGATCGACAAGCCAGTTGCTTTGGTTTCGGGTTCAGCCCCTGCTGAATTGGCGCACTCTTTGGATTTGTCTCTCCATGAAAGCTGCGGGCAGGATGAGCTGCTCTATGGCTTGGCTTTCGGCCCTGGTGCCGCGAAGGTCTGCACCGTAGGGGCACCAAGTCATGGCAAAGCTGGCCTTGACATCGGACTGCCACTCCCGCAAGCCCGCGCCGCGGTAGGCCCGTAGAGAGGTTGATTGCGTGGCCGACATGTGGCCGCAGTGCTCGCGGAGATCGACATCCATTGGGTGAGAATTAGTTCTGAGCGCTGCATCTATCAAGGTCAGCTGATGAGTGGAAACGTGGAGCATGTTCTTGGAACGTGGGATGATGAATGCTAGTCATTGTGCATACACTAGCGAATGACAGGTTCTGTCGATGTGTTGCGGTTTTCTTCTGACAAATTTCGGAGTGCTTTTGCCAAACATGTTTGTACTGCCCCGCTGCCTTGTAGTGCATACCCTTACATAGTGTCTGGCCTTGGAACTTGGAATGCTTCACGAGGTAACCAGCACGGGCCTCCTTCTCATCTTCAAGGTGGACACTGGAGAGAACATTTTAAGGCACGAGCTTCTGACTCATGCTTTCGAAACGTCTTGTGAAAGATGTTCTCAAGTGTTTGCTGCTATCAAAATACTTCTCATTTGGCCTTGCTTTCCACTCAAATGAGTATGTTTAATGTACTAGGGCTGTTCATTTTGCTAGGGCTGGTCCGCCTGGTTGGTTGGTTCGTTCGTTGCCCACGGCGTCTCCGCCTCACTTGGACCTAGGATTGCCCACCGGATCGGCTGTCTCATCTTATCGTAATCCAAAAAATGCAAATTCACAAAACCAAGTTTTCGTGAACAAGGGCTTTGTTTAGGCTTGCTTCGTCTGCCGTTTGTTTGAACACCTCCTCGAGCCCTGCAAAAGCCGTGTATAATGAGGATCTTTGTTTTAATGACTCAACTTCGCTTTTGTGAGTTTTTTCAACTTAGTATCCCTTGTGCCAACCCTTTTGGGGGTAGCTCACTTGACCACACCCCAAAGCGACTTTAAAGCCACTGCTAAACCAGCCGCACACCTTGGCGCAAATTTGTCCCATGCCAACCCAAACTCACCAAACCGCATCCTAAAGGCAACTCGAAGCCCACCCAACAGCAGCCTGGAAATCAGCCCTTTGCCGAGGCCAAATCCTAACCCCCTCATCAAGATCTCAGGCAGCATTGTAGCCAAAAGACTGCGAGAAGACTATGGGAAGACTACAGGAATGTAACGACTGTCGTTACCACCCCCAGGCTCCAGCCAACCTGGTCCAGGTGATTGGGGATATTGCCATCCAATGGAGATCGCCAGCCCTGGTGAGAAAGATATGCCTTCCACTGGCAGTAGATCGTCTGTGATTGGAAAGGTTTGGCAGGAAGGAAAGCTTCGCGTTGCAAGCAAGCTTAAGACTAATAAGAAAATAGTTGTGGCATGACAAGGCACGTTGTTCGTGCGCATACAGACGGCGAGCAAAATCCCTCTCACCCCTGTCAAGCACAGTGTTGCCGAGTTTCGATGTGATACAGATCGAAGCCTCAAAGCTTCAAAGCCGTTCCGCGAGGCAGCAGCTGCATACAGGGCAGGCAGGAGCCCATTTGTACCCCGCCGTCGACACATCAGTGGACCTTGTTTCGGCCATCCTGGCCGCTGCAAAAGTTCAAGAATCCCAAGAGTGCATTTTGCAGCAATGCCTTTAACTTCAAGAGTATACCACTCCTTGATGATTTGGAAACGCATAGTATTGACGGTCATCTCACATCCCAATCTCCTTCTTTCTGACTTGCCCGCTAGGCCTTTAGATGTGAATGGAATCAGAGAGGCAGGCTTTGGCGCTGGTGCTTTGCGTGGGTTATTCCTTTGGCATAATGGAGAGGTGCAGTGCATTCAAAAGCCCTGAGACGGGGAAGCCGGGAAGACATGACTGGCGTGTGGTCAATGGAAGTGGACTTGGTCTGAGCCTCCAGCCTTCAGGCCCTTGCTACATTGCCACTGGCGGGCACGACGGATATGCATGCGTTGCGGCCACAGAAGGGGCATCAGGTGCAGTCAAGGCGAAGAAACGAAGGGACTACCTGGCATTGTAGCTTTGATTGCGGCATTCTTGAGCCCTTGAAACTTGTGAGATGCCAAGGTTGTCAATGAAAAAGACGGCTCCATTGTGCACCGGCCACTCAACTGCAGCATTCCAGGACGTTGTGCGCGGGCATGCAGTCAGTTCTGAGGAACATAGTAATACTATGTGAGAGGCTGCAGCTTTTTTGGCCTGAGTTGGATATGTCCATGTGTCTTAAAGCTGTGCTGCCAAGAAGTCTGCGACCTGAAACGCTGGCGTCGATCAAGTATGTTTGCAGTTCCGATTTGCTTATCCCATATTCTTTGTGCAGGTTATCTCATCCAAATGCCGTTTATGGTGTGAACTGGCACTTGATGCAGGACGGGAGGGGGGGGGGGATGAGTACATGTCCACGACAAGCGCCATCGGGCTCACTGCACTTTATGGCTATCAGACCCAGTGTTTCAAGACAATCTTTCGGATGAGCATTCTAAAGCAGACTGATTCATACTTCGCAACAGTATGCGAATGTGGAGAGCTTGTAGGCGAGAGAGACTGTACACAGTGCCTGCGTTATGATTCAGAAGGGCAGCATGGCTTCGCGTGTGAGCAAGCGGAGAGAAATGGAGAGAATGTCACTGAAATAGTTGCGTGCAACCTGGTATATACAACGCTGGTCATCAGAATTCGCTGCTGCGATGTGTCTTTATTCCGTTCTGTGGTTATTTCCTTCTTTCCTTCTTTCTTTCTATGCGTCAGATCGGCAATGCAGTTCTGCCATGCAGAAGCACTGGCACCGACATGCAGGAAGCCACAGCTCCCCTTCAGTGCACTAAGCCCATAAGTTCGAGCAAACAGTTGGCGGGACGCGTTGAACCCTTTGCATACCCGCAGCCGTTGGCTTCAAAGAGATGAGAGGAACACAGCGTTGGAGTCCAGGTATGCTAAGAGGTCCTATCCCTTTTGCAGTGTTGTGCTTGAGATAGAGACTTACGCCAATTCGTGCATGCATGCCTCAACTCGTTGAAGGGAGTATGGAGGCTGGCGTCAGAATGGGTCTACTATCGTCGCTTGTTGCGCTACAGTCAAATATTGATAGCCAGACGTGCAATAGGGCTATATTTTCATAAAATGGATTGAAACAACCATCATTATTTGGGCCTGATGCAATCGTTTCCTTGCAAATGTGTCCATTGTCACGAGACAGGTGGTCTTGGACCTTGTGGGCCAAGAGCAGGCGCGCTTGTTCCACCTCGCAGACCAGCATCGTGCCTTGGATGTTGATCCTTGACTTCCGCTGGAAGCAGCACGCGCGGTAGTTCGCAAGGGGAGGTTGTATAAAGACTCCATCATTTTAAGTTTAGTAGCCGGAGGACCCTTCTGTCCTAACCACAAAGAGTTGTGGAAAAACGTGACAATTGTTGGAAGCAGCCTTGTAAGGTGAAAAAGCACAGCTTGTTGGGTAGCAAACGGGCCAGACTTGTTTGCCGAGCAAAACAACAACTAATTGATTACAACAACAAATGATTTGCGAGGTTGAAAGTACAGAAAGTGCAAAACGCTTGCAAAACAATGAACCAGATATAGCCAGAAAAAGGGCCATCAAAAATCAAAGATGTTGTTTGAAAAGCAACCTTGAGTGGAGTTCAATTTTGCCCGTACGCCACCCTTTCCCAGCTACTGTACCTGAAAATGGGCTCAATCTATGGGGTATTCAAGATTCTGGGGTTGTCTTGGAATTCCCCGACGACAAGTACTTGGTATATTGGTATATAATTGTACGCCGATTCGGTTTCCGGAAAGTGTGTAAGCCAACCGCGGGGGAGGGCTCGGCGCATTTAACTTCAGGAGTCGTGAAAAGCCGTGGCTTGAATAATCAGACGGTACTGGGACGGCTTCAAGGACCTGTGGAAGATGTCCGCGGTATGGATGGAGCTAGATGGAGCTAGATAGCTGGAAGCTGATTGCATAATATGGCATAGCATTGAAAGCACGCCAAACAACTCTTGTACGCGCCCTTTGCGGAAGGGAGTACTTGGCAGAAGCTCGGGGAGATGGCCGTCAACAGATCATGCATTCCCGCAAGGCCTGATCAGATGTTGCCTACTCAACCGCTGAATGTTGAATTGATGACGTTGTAGACTCCAAAGGCTATCAACCAACAGATCAAAGATTGAACGAAGCATTATGGGAGTTTAGATTGCGCTCGTGTTTCAGCTTTGCTTTTTTTCACCCTGCGGACTGACCAAAAGAGAGTTGGCGCGTTGTTGTTTGTGCGCAATGCACGTGTGGAAGGCCGCAGAAGCTTTGCGGACTGCTTTCACGGCCGGTGTGCGTGTTGAATAAGCATAAGGCCCGAATCATTAAGCACTTTGTCTGTGTAAAGGTTTCTTCATGTAGCATGATCAGTGAGTTGCGTTTGGCATGTTAGAAAAGGATCGGGACCGAAGGAGGGCCTTGGTGATTGAGTTCAAGCGCCATTCAGGGCAGAAATCTACAGGAGCGCTGCAGAAGCTTTGGATGGCCCCTGAGGCCCTTCAAAGACAACCCTAGCCATCAGTATCGTATTTGTTCAACATGTCAGTAACGGATTTGTTTTCCATCTCGCATCCGACACATTGTCCCAATACCTTGGGCTGACGCTCCAAATGCGAAGTAAAGACTCTTTCGACGTTGAGTTGTGCATTTGCCACACTCTTCGATCCTGATCGGGACAACACACCACACGGACGGGGAGCCTTGCAGAGTTGAGAGTGGATCAGCTGAGGCACTGCCATGAAGGAGACCATGCGCTCCAGCTACGTGCGGATACAGCAGAGCCTTCACAATCTTCAAAAGGGAACCGGTTGCTCGGCGATTGTACAAGTGTCTTCATTGCAAATTGGCACTGCATCGTGTTTACTTTAGTGGGAGGCGCTGGCAGCAGGAGGCTTGAAACGCAGGATTATGATTTGTTGGTTTACCTTTTTTTTTGCAATTGGGATGCGTTTATTTCAAAAGAGGCAGCGGCAGATCTTTGCAATCGAAGACTCCTTGCGCTGGCCCGCGCTACACTTGCGCTACAAAGCTGCAATTGTCCAGCTGGAGCTTCGAAAGCGTACTTCACGCACTTCACTTGCACTACAAAGTTGCGAGATTTCGAGCTGGAGCCGCGGAAGTGCTACACTCGTAGTACAAGTTGCCATTTTCCTAAATGGAGCTGCGCAAGTACAAATCTCGTACTTTCCTTGCACTACAACGTTGTGGTTTTCGAGGTGGAGCTGCAGAAGTGTACTCTGCGTACTACACTTGCAATACTTTCCAGCTGGAGCTGCTACACTTGCGAAGCAAAGTTCCGATTTTCGAGCTGGAGCTGCGGTAGCGCGCTTCGCGTACTACACTTGTAGTACAGTACAAAGCTGCGATTGTCCAACTGGAGCTGCGGAAGTGTACTTCGCGTACTACACTGTTGTGATTCTCGAGTTTGACTTGCCAAATTGGAGAAAACATTGTAAAACGGTAAGGAGGACAAACGAAACGTCAAATACATAGTAGGGAGAGATGTTTGTTTTATACATGCCAATGTGCCCAACCTAATTGTAAGCAATCGCATCAAGCGACAAGATACCGCCGAAACGGCTTGTTGCTTCTATGTGTTCTTTGACAAGCACTGCTTTCTGGCAAACATTGCTTTGCACTTGAGAAAGCACGTGCACCTTTTGGTATGGGGCTAGTTTTTTAGGGGTTTGGTAGCGAAGGCATCTCAGGAGCCAATATGGACTGTATTGCGTTGAGGCTTCAAGATGTTGGACCGCGAGGTCACCACAACAATCACATCAGAAAAGGGCCTAGCAAGCTGCTCGCTCAGGTGAGTTTCACTCACGTTCAAGTTCTCGATCAAAATTCCAGCCATCCTTGGCAGCTATCCCCAGCCCAGCGCAACCGTTCGAGGCCTGGAGAAAATCAGAATGTGAGTTGCCTGACGGTAGCTTTCGAAC